AGAGAGCTTTTCTTTCTAATGGCAGTTGAAGCTTTCAGTGCACGCTACCACTCTATTAGCGGACACAGAGGGGAAGTCATCTCTTCTCAGCCAAGTGGGAGAATGCCTTCTTGTACAGGGAGAAGAAACAAGTCAGAAGCTACTTCTTGCCTCTCAATTCACCATATTTTGTAAATGAAAAGATGGAACTGCCTACACAGAAGAAGCAGAAAGTGAGGAAGAAATGACAGAAATACCATTGTTTTCACTGAGAGTTGCACAGCTCACTGCCATTGGGAACTAAATATATATATGACTTGCAAAATTACATTTCTAGGAGCACGGAAGTCTATCAGAACGAGAATTAAAACCAGAGCACAACCCACCTGAGAGAGCTGCTTGTGAGCACAGTTTACTCCTCCAACTACAATCATGTTGGGCATCAATGGTCTTGGATATTCTAGCACAAAGTCAAACCTCAGAAGCCATACGGAAGCCTTACGATAGAGATCTAGCATGGTCACATCTCGCTGAAGGAACTCAGAAGCCAGTTTTTCATATGGTTTAAAAATGAAGTCACAAAGAAAGAGATTGGAGGTGTCAAAGATGACATTCTTCACACGCTGGAGGAAGTTCATGTGATCTGTATGGTCTGAAAATAGCCTGGGGACATATGAAGGGGGATTGGGGCACTGGGTGGCCTCAAAATCTAATCCACATGGTATTCCTCTCATGAAATACACAGAAGGGATGGAAAGATGCTCGGCCAGTATTGCTCCACAGGGCAGTGCAGGATCCGTTAAGAGAGCATCAAAGTTACTCTGCTCGAGATATCGGATAAGTTCTGCATTGTGCAGTAACTGTTCACAGTCTATGATGGTTGACTCCGAGACTTTTCTAATATTTTCTCGTACTTTAAAAAATCTTTCCAGAAATGATCCTTCGTCAAATAGACCCTTTAAAAATGACTGCAAACGGCCAAGCAGCCCTTCCTCAGTGAACGGGACTGGGTAGGTTTTCAGGATAAAATTCTCCGATGGCTTTACGTTTAAATTGGCATCAGAGGCAACGACGACTATTTCATGTCCTTTCTGCTTCAGGACTTCAAACATTTCCAGCGCACTGAACCAGGGACTGCCATCCACAGACACCACCAGCAGCTTCCCACCTGCAGCCAAGCTGAGCACGGACAGCAGCAGAAGCAGCGACACTGAGACTTGTGGATGAGAAGGAAGCAGCAGGGCCATTCCTGCAGAAATGTGGCAGAGCTGCACTGCAAGAAAACTCCGGGCAGCTCTGAAGCAACAGCAACAGCCCTGTGCTCTTTGAGCTGACTGCTCTATGCCGTAGATTGTGATCCTTCAGTAACGTGACTGCTGTGTGGTAAATGTTTAATCACTGGTTTGATTAAAAGCTGGGTAGCCAGCACTGGAGTTCAACCAAGTCCATGGGTGGGTGGTGCCACTGCACCCACCAGCTACACCCCATCTGTTCTGTTTAGAGGAAGACTGGTGTGTGACCCTGGAAGAGGGCAGGAGTGGCTTTGTGCAGCTCTGTGCTTCTAATAGCCTCCCTCAGGGTGAAACTTCTGCATCCACAGGAGATCTGAGTGATGCCCACATCACCACTGCGCCTAGCAGCAGCTGCTCTCTGTTCTCTGTGCATGGCCTTTCCTCTGAACGTTCATCTCTACAAGACCTATGGGCCAACACTGGATTTGAAGGAGATGTTCAAGAGTCTGTCTGGAACGGGGAGGCTGATGAAGAATGAAGCACCATCCCAGGTTGGTTTGCAGGACGCATCACCCACACAGTGAGGTGAGGTACTTCCTGTGCCTCAGAACAGTCCCAAAGCACAGAGGGAGGGCTCAGCTCTGCCCTCTTTTACCCACATCTGCTTGCAGGTCCCATCGTACACCCACAGAACAGTAGAATCACAGAATGGTTGTGTTGGAAGGGACTGCTAATTTCACCGAGTTCTAACCCCATGCCACAGGCAGGATATCCACTCAGTGGATCATTTTTGCCAGAGCCCTGTAAAAAACGGCCATCAACAACTGCAGGGATGGGGCAACCACATGTTCTCTGGGCAGCACGTTGCAGTGCCTGGCTGCAGTCTGACTAGAGAACTCAGGTCACAGAGCGCTTTGTCCTACTTTGCACAGAACTTGGCAGTACCTCCCTGCAGTGGGTACAAAGTTGAAACTCAGACCTTCACTAGAAGAGCAAAGAATTTCTCTTCCACTGAGAGCAGCCCGGGAAGAAATGCTAGGTGCAAAACTCAGAAAAACACTTTGGCAGCTCTTAAGCCATTCCCCAGGATCCACCATGCCACGATTCCTTCTTCAGGCTCACAACACTGATGGGATCTCACGTATCACATGGGCATCACCAAGGAAAGATTCTCTGATGTCTGCCTGTAAACACAGACGCTGCTGCTTCGTAGCTTGAGTGTTCATCACCTCTGGCACTCCTGTTCATCCTGACTTTGCAAATAGCCTTGTGTATTGCAGACAATTTCACTGACAAAGAAAGCAGTGGTAAGGCAGGAAATGTGCCCCAGGACAGAAGCCTGGTGGAAATACCTCAATAAATAACTGACACTGCTCCCAGCGGTGTTAATTTGCCAAGTTACATGATTGTATCTGATTGTTTCACAGTCCCTCACATTTTCTACCAACCTTCCTTCACTCACTGCGAGGTACTCATGAGACCAGCAAAGGTACTTGACTCCATACAAAAGTAGTTCAATAACACATAATGAAAAGTAGTCTGTTACAAATCCAGTGTTGATGGATACATTTCCTTCACACAGATTTGCTTCCTAATGAAGGTTGGAGCTCTCAGGGTGGAGCACCACTCCGGTGGCATACAGAGAAGGGAAACTTGCCTACACTCACCACACGCACTTGCCTATCCTCAACCAACTGGGAGAATGATGCCTTAAAAGCAAAACAAAAGCAAGTTAGAAACAACTT